CTTTCTATGCCAACTTTGCCACCTGTTTGTGAAATCCACTAATACGATGTCTGTTCACTTATCCAAAACGGCTAAAAACACTAAGCTGACATTAAATCCTAGATTTTCAATAGAAACTGCAATACGGGCTGATTTTTATTCGCCACTGTTTTAACAATAAATCAACGGGAAATCATGCTTAAAACGATTAGGCATCTTTAAAAAAGGTTTTTCTTTCTTTGTTTCAAGTCTTAGAAATAGAAACAACAACATGGTTTATTAGGCAGTCTTGAAAAGACATTTAAAGTATCGCAAGGCATATAATAAGTGTGGATCTGAAAGATCATATAGAACATTTCTCTACTTAATTAATAGCAATGAAGGTGTGCACACAGGAAGCCTCCTGAGCTAAATCAGAACACGTTAACCATCACAGAGAGACTCAGAACTGTCTTCCCTGGGGATCTGAATTATGGACACCCTCTGACTCCTCCAAATGTCTTTTCCCCATATTCCTCATTCCCTCATGGGAATAAAACAGAATCTGACCATGAAATACAGGCTCCCAGGAGGGTGTATATGTGTGCTGCATATGTTTATGCATGACTGTCTTTCCACAAAGGACAGAGCCTACTGTCCTCCTGGCAAACAATCTGCTCTCGTTCTCATACAGTGCATTCTCATCAATCCAACATCAACGCTTTTCACTTTTAATTCTTAAGCAGCAATCAAAATGAACAATCGAGAATGCACCAGACTACTGTCTGGAACCTTCTATATGCCATTATCTAACTATTAGCAGTTTGCATATCAGCATAAAAGGTTGTTAAAAATAATAATAATGATAATTATGAATACATTGAGATTATTCATAAATATGAGCACCAGAGCACAATTGCAGTCTTCTTGCGATTAGTCAGTAGACTTCATGCTCTCTGCATAAAGTTATGTATGACTGAAATGTATTTCCCAGAGGCCCTCCACTCAGTGGAAGACAGAAATAGTCGTGTGTTCATAAATGACAGCACATGGCACAGTCAGCCTGATGTAACTAAGAGAAATGCACAGTCAGATCAGCTAAGCACACCCTTATAGAAATGTGCATTATAACCTGTCTTGCAAAACTCTATCTTTGATATGAATCAAAGAACTGAGAAATGTTGATCAGCCTCTCTCTCTCTCTCACATACACACACACACACACACACACGGCATCGGTGCCTCAACACGCTGCACCAAGGAGCGAAAGCGAGCAGAGATGAAGAGAGGTTTTTTAAGTAAAAAAACAGGTATCACTTACCCAGAAGATGAGGTTGAAGAGGAACATCATATACTTCAAGCAGCACAGGAAGCCGCTAGCCATGTTGCACTTCTTGAATTCTAAAAGGAACACAAAGGATAGATCCAGGTAAAAGACCACGTATTTGCTGCTTTTGGAAGTGCTCTGTTTGTTGGCGTCCTTGTTGTCTGTGGCACTCTGTTTGCGCCCCGTGGAACCGTAGAAAGCTCCAGCGGTGAAGCCTCGCCCCCCAAATGGACGACCTGAGCTGGATGCGCGGGCAAAGTCCGAGTCGCAACTCTCCACAGACGGGCTGCGGTGGATAGCGGACTCCTCACTACTTGACTTCTCCATGCTCTGGGGCGAAAGCTCTGCTAGCTAGATCATACTCTACCATGTCTCTCAGTAGCCAGGGAAGAAGCTCCAAAAAGTGTCTCCCAAAAGAGTGCCTCTTACACACACCAATCAGGAAGGAAAGTCTAATGGAAAGAGATGCCACAAGAACAGTGTGGGTACACACTCACACCATCACTCGTTATGAAGCCCAGAAGCCAACCTGGGTCCAGAGAGTGTGTGTCAGAGTGTGAGTTGCCACAACTTCCACACCACCTCCTCCTCGCAGTCTTCTTCTCTGAGCACTGTTAAGCCGGCACACTCTTTCTTTCTGTCTCTCGGAGCCTCAGCCCTGTGCTGGTGCACTTCTCTCCTCTCCCCTCGTTCCCAGCCTTCTCCTCCCCTCAGCACTGAGCTTGTGCTCCTGATCTCAGTGCTGCCGCTGATGTGTGCAATTATCGGCAGCTACATTTACTGGGCATTCCCTCCTGTCTCCATTCAGCGCTGAGCCATCTATCTATCTCCTCCTCCTTTCCCTCCTCCTCTCCCTCTCAGTCTCTCTCTCAACTCCTAGCCCCTCCTCTCTGTTAGGGAACCAATCGGGCATCAAGTGTTGTCTGAAGCACATTCCCACAGTTGACCCTATGCTTTTAATAAGCTTATCATTACTATGCTTTTTTCCTTTACAAGTTGATATTCACTGATATTGATATTCACTCTGGCTAGCTATGAACCACTCAGGACGCTCTGTGGATTAAAAAAACATGAGTTGGAGAAAGGCTGTTTATTTGAAGTTGAAATTCAAATAAACAGTGGTTTAGTATGTAACTGGTGCACACGGCAAAACAGGAATATTTATATTCAGACTGCTCATAGCATATAACTTGACCCCCCCAACCTTATTGCTTTCCTTTAATTCAGTTCATCATGATTGAAATTCTTTGCCTGGGTTCTCTCTCTGAGCTATGTATTAGGGCATTTGGCTATGATTAGTGTTAGAATAAAAACAATCGCATGCATGACCGTTCGCTCAATAGTGCTTTGCAGCCCTCAGTTCGTGCTCTCTCAATTCCTTGTAAGGAGCGCCGATAAATTGGCAGCGTCGCCAGCTTAGGAATTATAGCACCATTTCAAGCATGGAAACAAGATAGTACATTAAAGATATTCAATGCTTTCCTATCAATAGCCAGGGGCATAGTCTGGATTGTCTGCCACGCATTCGCTCATTCTTGGAAACATGATAAGAAATTATGTTAGGTCCTGTTTTAATCTGAAAACAAGACTAAAACAAACAAACAAACAAACAAAATGACACCTATTTACAACCAAAAACATGACACCTGATACATTCTGTTTTTGTGTGTATCTCATAGTAAATTGTTTCAGAAGTTAAAACAAAATCTAAGATAAAACAAAGGCAACCTGAGTAAACACAAAATACAGTTTTTAAATCATAATGTTATTTATTGAAGCAAAAAAAATGTATCCAATCCCAACTGGACCTGAATGAAAATGTATTTATTAATTGCCCAAATCTACAAAACCTTCCCAGGAGTGATAGACCTTCCAAAATTCTTCCAAGAGCACAGCAACTACTCATACAGGAAGTTACAAAAGAGCCAAGGACAACATTGAAGGAACTACAGGAACTATCTTGCATCAATAAAGGTTCACTGTTCATGACACCACAATCAGAAAGACAATGGGCAAATAAGGCATCCATGGAAAAGTGGCGAGGTGAAAAGAGTGGTGAGTTGGAAGAATGGTGAGGTCACTGCTAATCCAGAAAAACATTAAGTCTCATCTGAATTTTGACAAAACACACCTTGATGATACTCAAACCTTTTGGGAGAATGCTCTGTAAATTTATGAGTCGAAAGTGGAACTGTTTGGAAGACAGGGGTCCCGTTACATCTGGCGTAAACTAAACACAGAATTCTACAAAAAGAACATCATACCTATGGTCAAGCATGGTGGAGGAACTGTAATTGTGTGGGGATGTTTTGCTGCTACGGGGCCTGGACAACTTGCAATAATATAGGGAAACATGAATTCTGCTCTCTAATAGAAAATCCTAAAGGAGTATGTCCGGTCTTCAGCCCGTAAGTTGAAACGCAAGCGCCACTGGATTATGCAACAAGACAATGATCCAAAGCATAGGAATAAATCCAGCTCTGAATGGTTCAAAAAAAGCTAAATTAAAGTTCTGGAGTAGCCTTGTCAAAGTCCTGCGTTGAATCAATTGAGATGCTGTGGCAGGACCGAACAGGCAGTTCATGCTTGAAAAGTCTCCAGTGCGGCTGAATTAAAGCAGTTCTACAAAAAAGAGTGGGACAAAATTTCACCACAGTGCTGTGAAATACTAATCTCCCGTCATCAAAAGCATTTGGTTGCAGTTATTACTGCCAAAGGCACAACCAGATTTTAAGTTTAAGGGGCAATTCGTTTTTCACATTGGTGATAGGTGTTGAACAACTTTTATTTTTTGCATAAATAAGAAAAAAAATGCACTCTTTACTCAGATTTGGTACATACCACAGAACAGTTGAATTCTCAAATCTGATTGGTTAGACGGTGTAGTATGGTCAGATTTTGTGCAGTTTTCTGTAAGGAGAATTTTATTGTTGGAACACTTCCGTGCTAGAAGAGGAATAAAACACTTTAGGTGTTGATATGGGAAAATAATCTTCATGGTGGTAACAAATGCTGTACTTTATTTCTTGTCACGTCACATGACACCACCCCAACATTGATTATTTTCCTATAACGGCACACTCATGTTTAAGTCCTTACAGCTGGGTTTGTTGTACATTATTATGACAGAATATAACCATGTTTATTTGCAATTTTTCTCTATCTCAGTTCCTGGCTCACATCTGTAGCTTTTTATTTTTTAATTTTTTTAAATTAACCCTGATCACAGCCATCATTCTTTATAATGCTGCTATGTGGATGAATGATTAGACATTAAAGGCACTGAAAAACTGAAGGCACCGGAAGAAATATGTTGGTCATTAAGAGGACTTTATCAATAAGGTTTTTACTATATTGTGTAATTTTAATAAGAATCCAGGCATTTCATATTTCTTGAAAACTTGAAAATACTCAGTAGTAAGCTCAGTACTAAGGTTCATTTCAGTATTATTTTTTGCATGAGCCACATAAAATGAGTTAGTGGGCTATATATGAATAAAGTCCTTGAGTTTGATGTGTGGATTACAGGGTGCTTTGTGCAGGAATGCACAATGATCATTATAAAATGCAGTTGTTAACCCTTTATTTAAGGGCAGTGTTCACAGTTTACATAATGCCTGCATTTGGCAGAGACCCTTATCCAGAATGACTTACAGTTATCTCGTTTATATAAGTGAGCAGTTGAAGGTTTGCTCAAGGGCGCAACAATAGCAGCTTGACAGTGCTGGGATTTGAACTCACGACCCTCCAATCAGAAGTGTAATGTCTTAACCATTGACCAACCATTTCCCGTAATGCTGCGTGTAACTTACATAAGCCATCAAAAATCTACATTAAAATTTAGAAAGGCGTATTACAACAACATAAGCTTTCATAAATATTTTTTTATTTGACATTACACCTGAGACACATAACAAAATTTTGTTGAAATAAAGTTGTTTTTCCAGGCTGATTTACATTAGAATGTCACAACACTGCACTGCACTTCAATAAATATACATTTATTATACATTTCAATAAATATTTAGTATGAACCTTTTTGGCCACTAGGAGACTCTCACAAATGATGCCTGACTCAGAGTCTAATTAATCTAGATGCTTTATGTTACATTTGTAAAAAAACAAAAACAACGTGTCTTACAACTTTCTATTAAACCGTTTCAGCACACTTGTGAATTCCCAAACTTGTAAATGTACAGACAGCATTCAATGCACTGAAATCAGCAGTGAGAGTCCTGAGAGTGAGTCAGCAGTCAAATCTACGGCTGTGGTGTGATGGCACTAATACAGAGACGGAGTGACTGCTTCATCAGTAGGTACGAGTGAATACACACGCAAGCTGAGCTTACAGACAGATGGAGCAGAGTGTAGCTCAGCGCTCTTATGCTAAACCTTAGTAATACCTTGTTTGCCAGTGGCTTCACTCTAATCCATTTCTTTGTGTTTCACTAATCGCGACCATCCTGATGAACTTGTTTGAATTTACTCAAGACTGACAACGCAACAACCAATCTAAGCGATCAATTAACCAGGAGCCTTAACACTACACTTGCAACACTTCCTTTTTGTCATCATCCGACCCACAGAATACACACGAAGCAAATGATCCATTTCACCGCGTCCCTGCTCAAAATCACTTTTCAGTGAAACAGCTTGTGCACCCACTCTAATAGATCTGCAGAATTGGTTTTACATTGAGAACAATAATTTGGCTACTCTATCTGAAGAGAAACAGTCAATCGTGCCCATTTTAAACCATTCATTATGCGGGCTGTTTTCCTGCCGGCATGCCAGGCACTTCATTTATTTAGCCTTAACAGATTTGTAATGTCTGTGCTATTAAGCGCAGCAGCAGAGAACCACACTGTGGAGACTGAGACAAAAAGAAAAGGGGTTTGACCAGAGCTCAGCGCTCCCCTGATGCTAAGATACAATACGGCCTGCCTCAGTGATGCACGTCAGCAAACTGATATTCATTAGGACGCTACAGGAGCATAAAGCTACTAATTCTGCAATGAGCTGATAAGGCTCGTTGAAAAATTTATCCTGTGTTCAATACGATTCTGCATCCACACACACACCCACACAGACACACAAATACAATGAAATGCAAGCAAACAGACAAGAAAAATACCTTTGAGACTGAAAAACATTCCACTGATTCAGAAGGGGTCAAAAAAGAAGAAAAAAGGTGAAAACTTTAAAAAGGATGTTTTTTTTTTAAATACGAAAAGTAAGCTATGTGGGTATGGATTAGGCACTTCCTTTCTTTGGAAAAAAAAACAACAATGTAAAAATAAAGCTAATATTTTGGCACCCACCTAGTCTTATATTCTGTTAAAATGCTTAAAATAGACTTTTTTTGTATTTTGTGGAACCATGAACAACAGCACCTCCAATGATTTTAGGTAAGTTTAGGTACATCGGAGGTAGATTCACAGAAGCTCTCATCCTATATTTTGTGTGCCTTTTGCACACATGAAATACAATAGTGGATGTACAATGTACTTCCGGAAATACATTAACTACCTTTGGAGGAACTAGAAGTAAGTAGACTAAACAAACATCCATGTATCCCTGTTTTGTACCGCTTATACTACACACGGTTGTGGGAAGCCTACCGGGGGGGGGGGGCTTGGACGGGTGCCAACCTATTGCAGGGCACAATCGCACACACACATTCATAATTTGAAAATGCCAATCAGCCCACAATGCATGTCTTTGGACTGGGGGAGGAAACCCCTGAAGCATGGAGAAAACATGCAAACTCTGCACACAGAGGGAATCGAATCCCCAACACTGGAGGCGCTAGGCAATCGTGCAACGTACAAGTACAAGAAAATGGTTTAAACAATGTGTGGCATGATTATAACCTATAATGATGAATTTATGCCAATGCCATGAGGCTCAAACATATTTTTTTTCATAATATTAACACTCCCATTCAATTTCATGACCAGTCATCACTGAATAAAACCAGTGACTAGACAGAATAAGGGGTAGTCATGAATTGCTTACAGTGTGGTTTGAGATTCATATACTTCACTGCATTGATAGTGCCTTATCATTTTTCTGAAGCAGAATAAATCTGGGAGCTCATGAAACACTTCAAATACCCACTGGTGAGGAGCAGAGATCAGCTAGCAAGAGATAGAATAATGTAACATAGTGATAGGCTCTTTTCTGTGCTGTTCAGTTGTGATAAGTGCTCGTAAAAGCAAATGTGCTTTGCAGTACCACAATACGTCTACCTGTGCTGCACTGTCACCTCATCCAATAGCTTCTTCCCTGTGAAATGCCACCGGACCCATCTACAAACAGCTGACCAGGTGCAGAGTGAAGGATAACTCTATTTAAGCAGCAATGTGGCTCTATTATAAAAGCAAAAGTTCGAAGTATTCCTAAGTGGATTGTTCTAATGCGGCATAGGGTGAAATGATTACACTGGGATGTAGAAAGGTAAAAAGCGATCAATGGCCATACCATGTGAATTGGAGGATCGGTTTGCAGGTTTTATAAGATGAAAACCCTTTAATCAGCCTGCTTATTCCCTATAGTGACTCAACCAGCAGACAGAGAAAATCAAGTTAGATTACAATCTAGATTACAATATAGTTATAAAAGAGTTCTACTTTTCCCCTAAAGACAAGTTTTGTATGACTGCAGAAGTCTAGTAGAAGTCATGAGGTCCTGAAATTTGAGTTCTGCAGAACAAAATCCATCGAGATGGAAAATTAGAAGTGCAACTGACACAAATGCTTCTACGTATGACTAAAATCTCAAATAATGTTAATTTTCATTCGACTTCTGATTATTAAGAAATAATATAATTTTGTCTTTGCCTGCTGGAAACTGGCTTTGGCAAATTTAATACCTGCTCTTGAGATGTGTTCATTTGTGCTAGACATTCAGTCTTAGTAAAGTGCATTGTGGGTGCAATTATAATCAATTTGAATAAACAACATCCTGTGATTTGTGCTTTAATTAGAGAAAAAATAAAAGATCAATCATATCCGTTAAGGGAATGTTAAATGTTATTTTGCTCATGTTCACAATGCAGATGCTGTTAGTAAATAAGCTTGCACACTTGTGCAGATGCCATAAAATGTGAATTTATCTATTTATTTTTTACACAAATCATTAGTAAATAAGGGCCTATGATTGATACAAGTAAGCATCATGCACAATTAGATACAGTATGGCACAGCAGACCATATACTGGAAGCACTTGAAGTAAAGCCTGAACAAAACAAGAGCCATTTCAGTTAGTAATGTGGTGACTGTTGTGGTGTACATGTACAGGTACAAAAAACCGGCCCTGAGTATTGGACCCCACATGCTTCTTACAACCAACCATATGCTACAAGGCCACACTGAGTAAGCATAGACTATCAGCCAACAACAGTCTGACTCCACCAAGTCTGGCAATTTGCACAAGAGCATGCCAGCTAGGTTATACTTAGATATTTGGCTCAATTAACTAACTTTCTTCACTAAAGGAAAACAACAACACTATTTTGAGCCTCTTAATACAAAATAAAGGAATACAGTGACGTTTCTACAGGACATTATCAGGACAGACGTAACTCATTAACGTCAGTAATACGCTGTGGGGTTAATAAGATGTTTAAGAATGCAATTAAAAATGTTTAATAAGGTCAGTTGATTTTAAACGGTCAACCATAAACATAAACATAATGATGTAGTGAATTTTGAATGATAATCACTGCCTAATTATGGTCATAACAGCACTACATGATGTGGCTACGCAACCTCTCAGTGTGCTATAACTGGACTCATATTGAAGTTTTCTAATCCCTAAAGATTTTTATGAATCATGTTTTGGTGAATACTTCATGTCATGACAGTTATACATAGTTTGTCTGGTCCTTAAGTAAATTTCATTTTAACCCATGTTAGATTTTTATGCATATCCATGAAATAAATGTTGTTCACATTTTATCCTGGTCTTACGTGAAGTGTGTTCACAGTTTCACTATACAGAAGGTATTTATGAAAACATAATGCTTTTACCATAATGTGATATATCAGAAGTGCAGTGCAGTGTTGTCAGCCTGGAAGTACAACCTTTTTTCAACAAAATTTTGTTATGTGTCTCAGGTGTAATGTCAAATAAAAAAATATTTATGAAAGCGTATGCTTTCTAAATTTTAATGTAGATTTTTGATGGCTTAAGTAAGTTACACGCAGCATTACGGGAAATGGTTGGTCAATGGTTAAGACATCAGACTTCTGATTGGAGGGTCGTGAGTTAAAATCCCAGCACTGTCAAGCTGCTATTGGGCCCTTGAGCAAACTCTTCAACTGCTCACTTATATAAACAAGATAACTGTAAGTCATTCTGGATAAGGGTCTCTGCCAAATGCAGGCATTATGTAAATTGTGAACACTGCCCTTAAAGGGTTAACAACTGCATTTTATAATGATTAGTGATCATTGTGCATTCCTGCACAAAGCACCCTGTAAGCCACACATCAAACTCAAGGACTTTATTCATATATAGTCCACTAACTCATTTTACGTGGCTCATGCAAAAAAATAATACTGAAATGAACCTCGGTACTGAACTTACTACTGAGTATTTTTATACTAGTCCAGTAATATACAGAATTCACACCAGACCTGAAGTGTTTTCTATTTGTGTCACTGTACAGCATGCGAGGGCTCACTTCACATCTCACAGTACTGAAACGCTGGTTAAAATGGACGTCTATCTCCTGCGTTTGACACCATGCGTCTAAAAATGCTTCAGAAATGCTTCAGGTGT